AGGCTCTAGAAGAGAATCTAGTTTGTTGTTGTTGTTGTATGTGTTTTGTGCCGTTTTGTTTTCCCTTTTCCAGATTCTAGAGGCAACCCACACCCGCATTCCTGTGTCCTGGGCCCGCAACACTCTGACCTCTGCTCCCATCATCACGTGACCCTTTTCTGACTCTCCCCGTATCAGGACCCCTGTGATTACACTGGACTCTCCTGGCTAGTTCAGGATACTCTCCCCATCTCAAGAGCCTTCATTAAACCATCCATCCAAAACCCATCACGTAAGACAGCATGTTCACAGGTTCTGGGGACTCGAATGTGGGTATTGTTAGGGGGCCATCATCCAACCTGCTTCACTCCCCAAAACGTAAAGACCAGAACATGGTGACCCTGTCCCGGCTGGAGCTATGTTTGGTCTGGAAAAAACTGTAAATTCTGCCCGTGGTTTGCGCAGTTGGCATGGTGTCTGTGTGATGGGAGACCTCATGTCTTCCAAGTCCTGCCCCGAGTTTCCTTAGACACATAACTGCCTTGTCCTCATAAGTACCCATTACTAGGTCTTACTGTCCTCTCGATGGACAAACTGCAAACCCAGAGAGGTTACACATCATCCCACCATCATCCGGTAACCAACAGCGCCCACCCCGCCTGACCCTGACCCCGACCCCGACCTCAGGCCCTTCCTAAGAGAAGCAGACAGGCTAGGGAGGAAGAACAGGGCTCCCCCCAGACACTCCCTCGCACGTGGCCCAGCATCTCATTCCAGAGAGACAAGATGGAAGACAAACATTTCCATGTAAAAGCCTTTCTTTCCTTGGGCTGTTCAACACCCTCTTTCTGACTGGGTTTGAGGAGAATGGTGACTTGAAGGAAAGCCATTGAGGGAGGTTCTAGAGGAAGGGTTTAGAGAACAAACAGGATAATGCATGGTGTCCAGAAGCATCCTATTTCTTTACTTCTCACCTACTGTTTCTGAGTGGTCCCCAAGGTATGGAGGCAAACAAGGACTAAGAAAAGCCGCTCTCCCCTTACAAACTGCGAAGAGTGTGGGACTCTGGTTCCTGCCACCTGCTCTAGGTGAGGAGTGAGCCAGGTGGGGGGAGTCAGACCCGGCGAGGGGTCAGGCCAGTTGGGGAGTGAGCCCAGGTGGGCATCCTGCTAGGTGGGGATCTGGCCAGGTCAGGGATCATCCTGAGCGAGGAGGATGAGGAGGGCCTGGATGCCTAGCTTCCTGCTGTGAACTCTCCTCCTTGTCCCAGGCTCCTTTCTGCCACGACTGAGTCGAGAAGCCTCATTGGCCACAAAGGGTTAGTGGATTTGTTGAGGGACCCTCCCCTGTTTCAAGATGCCCCTGCCTCACGGAGATTTGAGTGGGAGAGGATGTCAGAGCCCCGGCTGACTGATGGCTCTGGGTCAGTACTATTGATGCCCATGGGCCATTAACCAGCTGAGTTATAAACTCCCACAGCAGTAAGGCCGGCTGGCTCCAAACCATGTTCCTGACAGCGAGGGGCCTGGCAGGGAGATGCTGTTCACTTGATTGCTGCCATCTGAACCTTGAGGCCATTTTCTTCAGCTTTCAAACCGCTTTTGTGCTCTTTGGTTTTGGAGTTTGTTCCTATGGCTACACATACACACACACACACACACACACTCACTCACACACACACACACACACACACTTCACACACACTCCCATTTTAATAAAATCAGGGGACATCAACATGGCTACGTGTATCCGTGTCACATGGAGAGACACCTTTCTCGCTAGAGCAGGGCAGAAAAGCTGCTTTGTAGTGTATTCAGATTTTTAATTATTGAAAGCAAAATTCACACATGCTGTCGTTGCTGGTGAACAGAGGTCAAGTTCTTATTTTTATTTTATCTTTGGTATAAATAAGCAACGAAAGTTTTCTAGCTTCCAAAGGAAGCTGCCAAGGGAAGCCAGGCTGTGACGAGCTTTGAATATGGTATCAGACACCTGGTGACAACTGCATGTGCTTTTCAATGCATGCTGCTAATAGTTGGGGTTTGGTTGTAAGTACTGATGGGAGCCAGGGCTCATGGGCACCACGCTAGGGGCCAAGTGGGGGAAGTGAAAGGCTATTCCTCAGGGTGGAAATGAAGTATATCTTGCTGCAGAAAAGACCCAATTGGCGAATCACCACACCCAGGAGAGGAGCAAGCGAGATAGCAATTTAAATAACCGGAGTGTTTGTGCCTGTGTGTAAGGGAAGGTACACAAGCTGGTTTCAGAGTCTGGAGCTAGTGGTTCCCAGAGGAGCAAGGCCAGGAAAGCCATTGCCAGTGGCATAGAAGGAGGGGGTGCAATGATACTGTGGGGGAGGGGAGGAGCTGCCCCCCACCCCCCGCTGCCATATGCAGTAGAGGGTCAAAGGCAGACCTAAAGAACCTGAGTGAGGGCAGTTGCTTGGGAACTTGTGGGGGAGAGATGGAGGATGCAGAAAAGGCATTGTCTGAGTTTCTCAGGGCCAGAGAGTTTGGAGCATGGCAGTCTGGGGACTCAGGGAAAGTGCTACTGAGGAGCACTTGAAGTTTCCCAGTGGAATCCTTAGCGGATGTGTTTAATCCACATACCTCCTATGGAGTCTGTGCTCAGCTGCTTTCTCCAGCCTCACTCGCATCCCAGTAGGAAACAGATGGAGCACTCCAACTGGGTAATGGAGGAAAGCGTAACACAGGGACTATCTGCAAAAGTGTGGGCTCCCTGTGAGGAAAGCCAGGGATAGCCTAGAGCTGGGAACAATGTGGGGAGAGATCACCGGGAGGGGAGAAGCGAATGCAGTACTATGCTGGGCGGTGGAGAGGAACACCTTGGGAGAGAAGTACAGTGGCCTGGACCATCTACCAGGGGAGCATATGGGAATAAATAGCCCAACCCCTCTCTCCCTTCACCTTCCAATCCATTGGCTAATCCCAATTTGAAGCCAGACATCATGGATGGGCTGGCAAGACCAAAGTCCGTAGGTGAATGGCAGCCTGGGAATTTGAGTAAGAGCTGGTGTGCCAGTCTCAGGTCCAAAGACTGAAAACTCAGGCAGAATCTTTTTTTCCCCAGGAAACCTGTCTGCTGTGAAGACCTTCAACTGATGGGATGGGGCTCACCCAGATGATGGAGAGTAATCTGCTTTAATGAAAGTCAAATGATTGTAAATGTTAATCACATCTAAAAACCACCTCTACAGCAACACCTCAGCTGGCCATCACAGTCTTGTCCAGTTGACACATAAAATTAGCAATCACAGACTTTGTGGCGGGGCAAGATGGAAACAGAGTGATGCTGAGCCTCCATCAGGACCTTACAGTTTAAAATTACTCTCATGTGTGTTGATTTATCTAATCCTCAAAACCATGTTGTGAAACAGCTATCATCACTTTCACATGTTGCAGCTGAGGCCCAAATAAGTTATTGCCCGAGGACACAGCTGGAAAATTATAGAGGCAAAACTCAGACTCAGGTCTCTGGACTCCAATCCCAGACAGATTCTAAGTGAATAATACAATATTTTAAAGGCCATTTATGAAATTATGTAATATCGGGAACTTACTTAAAAATGATAGCGTAGGGGTGTGAATGAGAGGATGAAGGAACATGATTGGCCATGTGTGGATAATTACCGGGGCTGGGTGATGGGTACGTGAAAGTTCACTGTATGTTTCTCTATATCTTAGAATAGGTTTGAGAATTCCAACAGTAAAATGTTAAGTACAATCCCGCAGCTTTGTGAGCAGTTTGCTATCTTATGAAGGAGAGCTGTCCATGCAAGCCTGCTCATTCATGGCCCGATGAACCCAAGCGCTTTGAATCTAACCGTGCCTTTCCTTTTGAAGGGTGTTCTTTGCCAAGAAGCGAGAGAGGTTATGACAGGTGTCTGTGAGGTCAGGTTGCTGAGCACCTTCTGGTGACACTGACCTTCCAACCACAGGTCTTGCCATGTTCAGTGTTCACAACCACAAACTCTGCAGCTGGACTGCCTGGGTTTGGCCCCTGCCTCTGCCACTTACTAGCTATACACCCTGTGCAAGCCACTTACCCTCTCTGCACCTCAGCTTCCCCATCTAGAAAGTGGACAAGGACAGAACCTTCCTCCCAGATTACAAGGATTGAATGAGTTAATGTCGCCAAAAGGCTCAAACTAATGTCTGCACACAGTACGTTTTATGTGAATAAAATAAAAAATTTTTTTCTTTTCTCATACTTTTTATTCTCTCCCTCTTTGGGCCACAGAAGCAGTCACCAGAACCGAGGCTTTCCTGGGGATTACACGAGCTGACTTGTGCCGACTTGTGTGTATCTGTCACATTCTTGGGCAAGTGGCTGGGAAGCAAGACACGGTGCTTGGGTTTTGGGTTTCCTCCCCCAGTCAGCTGCCACGATGTGACTGATGTACATCACGTTTTCATAAAGCCAGCAGGTGCTTTTTCTTTCATAGTTTTTCTTAAAAACTCCAGTTTCTGTTCTCCAGAGGCATTGCTTCTTCGTCCCGTCTCCTCTCCATCCAGCCCTCACAACTCTCTGAATTTGGGGGTAGTGTTATCAATCCACTCATGATGTCCTCAGTGAAGTGGAGGAAATCCAGTTTATTATGTCCTCTCACTGCAGACCCGCTGGCCATCTTGACAGCTTCCGCTCCCTCTGGCCCCTCAGCTCTGCCTTGGTTTCCCTACTGAGAAAGGGAATCTTCTGCTATCCCGTGTGTCCTGAAACTAACACCCAAGAAAAGGCTGGAAATTCTCAGGGAGTTTCTCAGCTTCCTCCAAGGCACAGCCAGGGTCAGAGAGGTCGTGAGGATCAGGACAAGCAGGGTGAGCTGGAGCAGGGGCAGGGCAGACCAAACCTCTTTACCGCAGAAGAAGGAAGCACACTGTGGAGGGAGAATAAATAGAGGGGCCCAGGGCAGCCGTCCAGGCCCTCCAGGGGCACACTGACTGTAGGAGCAGCGGGCGAGGGGGGAGCCCAGCACACCGACTCCAGGCCCCTCGCCCGCCTCAGCCCCTGAGGGAGAGACGCTTGTAGGCCTTGTTCATCTGCTCCAAGAAGATGAAGGTGAGGACGGTGTGGGGGCCCAGGCGGGCATAGTATGGCGTACAGCCCTTCCACAGGCTGAGGAAGCCCTCGTAGCGAACCACCTTCGCCAGCACATCCAGGCCGTTCCTGTGCTCCGGCTTCCCGTCTATCATCCGCATGTTCTGGATCCGGGTCTTGACGATGTCCACGGGCATGGAGGCGGCCGTCGTGACCAGGCCGCTGGCCATGCTGGCACAGAAGTGCAACGGGATGTTGTCAGTGAAGTAACCCGAGTCCAGCAGGAACTGCTTGCACTGGAAGTAAGAGGCGAGCTGGGCAGCGTTGACCACGACCGCCCGGGCCATGGTAGGGACGCAGCCCCTCCACAGGGCGGGGACCCCCTCCTCCCGAGCGATTCGATTCAGGGCATTAAACACGTTGGTGTAGCCACGGCGTTGGCTCGCTGGGAGCCGGCCGTCGGCAGTCATGCGGATGAGAGCCACGTCGGCGGGGGTTCCCACAAAGGCGCCCGCGGCTCCGGCCGCCATGCCCAGCAGGACCTTCAGCAGGAAGCCTGGCGGGGTGCCGTCAGCCCCGGTCAGGCGCTCGGACAGCACCGTGTAGCTGCCGAGGCGGGTGGTGGTGTAGGTGGCCTGGCGCAGGAGGCCGGCCGACAGCCCGGTGTAGACGCCCCGCAGCCCCCCTTCCGCCTTGAGGATGCTGGCGAGGGCGTGGAAGCTGGTCTTGTACTCCCGCGTCTTGGCTCCTTGCCCGCTCAGCTGCATCCGGTTCTTCACCAGGTCCAGCGGTTGTACAAACACCGTGGCTCCCATCCCGGCCAGGCCCCCAAACAGGAACTTGACGGACTTAGAGGACGTCCGGGGCTTCCCGTCCATCCCGCCGGCCCCGGGACTCGCCGTTGCCGCCATCGCTACTCGATGGCCCTGGATGGTGCCGTGTGCGCGTGCGCGGTCCCGCTGGCGCCCAAGGTGACACCACCACGCGCAACAGGGGCGAGGGCGCGCGCATGCGCACAGGCCGGCAGCTCCCTAAAATATTTAATAAAATCTACAAAACTCTCTTTCCATGAATCAACTTTTGTCTGCATGCAGTTTTCTGGTTCCTTTGTCTCTTTCAGCACTGGAAGAAAAAGCAATGGGTAAATCACTAATTCCCTCAATTGTTATTGAGGCCCTATTTCATTCCTCTTGGTGATGGTGATAAAGAGGAGAGTCTTTGACAGCAGGAACACAGGTTAGTTGGAAAAGGTGGACCGTTAACTGAATCAATAGTTATTTTTTGTTTGCTAATCCTCATCCGACGATATTTTTCCATTGATTTTTTTAAAAAACAAACAAACATATCTTTATTGATTTCAAAGCAAAAGAGAGAGGGAGAGAGAGATAGACACATCAATGGTGAGAGAGAATCATTGATCAGCTGGAGCAAGACCAAAACCTGGCATGTACCCTTTACTGGAATCGAACACGGGACCCTTTGGTCTGCAGGCCGATGCTCTATCCACTGAACCAAACTGGCTAGGGCTAAGTCAATAGTTCTTAATATTTACTAAGGCGTAGACCTTTAGAGAATTGTGGGGAGATTTTAAATCATCTCTACAAAATATTCAGAACACATAAATTGTTGGGTATAACTTAACTCTAGATACTGGGTTAAGAACCCCTAAAATAAATAATTATAAACACTATGATAAATAGTATGCTGAGAATATATTCCCTGTTTACCTCTCCAGTTTTTCAACACTGCCCTCCCCTCTCCCAAGTTCTGCTATATGGACCTCTTTTATTCTTTAATAAATCAGTTTCCAAAGTCTAGCTTGTAACCTCAATTAGAAAATACAGCAAATAAATAAACCCAATCTTCTGAACATGTATATGTACTATATATGTAATATGAATATATATACTTACATACATACTCCAAGGTGTGTATATCTATTTATAAATTGTATAATGTATTACTACCATTAATATATCAAGACAAGGAGAACTATAAAGATTCAACATTAACAACAGAGTATGCAAATCCATATTTCAAAAAGATTTGGTGATAATTTTATATTCTTTAGGCAGAATCCTTGTCAGGCCTGATTAAATGGTTGTTTTGATCTCATAATGTGGCTGACAAAGAGCTTGTATGAGGAATGTCAGTTCAGGAGAGAATCCTTGTTCACTGGTACTTAAATTATTAACTTTACCTTCAATCAGTGACTCCTTTGCAGGAGCCTCTTTAAGCCACGTTTCGTTTTTTCAGAGTTGGTTTAGAACAGTGGTCGGCAAACTGCGGCTCACGAGCCACATGTGGCTAGCTCTTTGGCTCCTCGAGTGTTCTAATGCCACTTCTTCAAAACAGACTCGCCCAGGCCGAAAACCGACTTCTGCTCATGGGTCACGAAGTTGCAATCACACTGTACGTGCACGCCCGCACATGGTATTTCATGGAAGAGCCACACTCAAGGGGCCAAAGAGCCACATGTGGCTCGCGAGCCGCAGTTTGCCAATCACGGATCTAGGGCACGAAAGTGGGTAAGATTCTTCCCTGTCCTGAGGAGGTTCCAGTCTATTGGGAATGAGACATGTAATTTCACGTAAAGTAGGATTTGTTCAGTAAGACAGGAACCAGATGGGAACTCAGAAGGGAATGAGCAAAATGTCACTCCTGGAGGAGAGCGACAGGAGACGGGGGTCTGCTTAGAAATGGCCACACAGAGTCACGGTGAGCGGTCACCTCTACTTGGTGGCAGTGGCAGCAGGAAAATGTGTCTGTGTTGGCATTATCCTCAAAAAGCTCGCTGGCCCTTTAAAACCCATTCTCCACGGTGACTTTTAAAAATAGCCGTTAGTGTGGAGCCTTTATGAAAGTCTAAATAAATTACATTCATTGGTTTCCCCTTGTCCACACATTAATCTTCTCAAAGGCCGTGGTGCATTAATCAGGCCCGGGCTTCTCCTGCGATTGCCTCTCCCCGGATGTTTACGTACCTGAGTGCACCCCATCGATTCCAGCACCTGCCTGGGCCCGGGTGGGGCAGGGCGGGCTCACCTGTGGTTCCCAGAAGCCCCCGCCAAGCCTCCTCCAGGCTGGGGGTCTCACTGGGGTTTTTCAGGCCCTCAGACATTAGGCTCTCGGTGGCAACAGTTCACACATGGGCTGAGAGTTGCCCAATTCCAGCCCCGCCCCCCCCCCCAACCCTTCTAAAAGTCCTGGTTGAGCCTTGCCCCTCCCTTCTCAGGGACTTAGCGAGTTGAACAGCCCAGTAATTTAATACTATTCAGTTAGCTATTTCCCAACTACCTGCTTGGGTAAACCTAGAAGTGGCCCAGCAGGCATGGCTCAGTGGTTGAGCATCAACCTGTGAACATATAAGTCATGAAGTTAACTGTTGGGCTAGAGCCGTAGTCAGCAAACTCATTAGTCAACGGAGCCAAATGTCAACAGTACAACGATTGAAAATTCTTTGGAGAGCCAAATGTTTTAAACTTAAACTATATAGGTAGGTACATTGTTATTAACTTAATTAGGGTACGTGGTATTTTGTGGAAGGGCCACACTCAAGGGACCAAAGAGCCGCATACGCCTTGCAAGCCCCGGTTTGCCGACTACTGGCTAGAGAGAATGCCTGAGTTGAGTGAAACCGGATCAGCGGGATTGCTGGGAGCTGCACCTGCAGTCCTCATCTACACGTGGACCTGATTCAGGTGACGAGGTTCTGCACATTGATGCCAAAATAAGATGAGTCTTCTGACGGTGTGGGTAGAGAGCAGGTGTATTTTGCCTGGGGAATAAATGTGCATCATCAGGGCCAAGGGAGGATGGTGGTGGGCACTCCTCAGGATGCCCCTCATGATCCCTGCCTCCTGCTGTTCACATCCTTGTACATGGGACTGAATTTGGGTTGGATGACCAAGAAAATATATCACAGTGACTTCATTCTGCCCTGGCCGGTGTGGCTCAGTTGGTTGGTCACCATACCATGCACTGAAAGGATACTGGTTGGGTTCCTGGTCAGGGCATATAACCAGGGATGCCGGCTGGATCCCCTGGTAGGAGGCCTGCAGGAGGCAACCAATAGGGGTTCCACTCTCACATTGATGTTTCTCTCTCTCCTGCTCCCTACCTCTCTCTCTTAAAAAAAAATAAAATTAAGTGACCCCATTCCCCATAATTCCTGACACACAGAAACTGGGAAATAATATATTTGTTTAAAGCTTCCCAGTTTGGGGTGATTTTTTATGCATACATTTAGCACATGGGTCTCCCCTTGGTCACCAGCCTGGTGAGGACAGAAAAGGGAACAGCACCCAAGTGGGGAGATGCCTCCATCAGGGGCCAGCGCATCTCTGCTTCTCTTCATGGAGCAAGAACTGCACACGGGCTTTCCTGGGCCACGGAGGAAGTTGTGAAATCATCTGTTTTTTCAGCTGAGAAAAATCATTGAAATCAGAGTTCAGTGAGTGAAGAAGAGAGGGAATGAATATTGGCAAGGCAACTGTGCTGGGTTAAAAGAGAGTTATTTCTGAGTGTGCTACACATTACACGTGGGACTGAGAACATAATGCTTGTCTGACAAACTAAGGTGAATGGAGACTGCTGCTTATGGCCAAAGCCACTTGCCTGGGGGCGTGAAGTGACAAGGGACCCACGTAGCTTCTCCTAAGGCCGGGGGCCCATATGCTGCAGACCAGACCCCTTCACAGTGAAGCTGCTGGAGAGAGGACAGAGGTAGGTTTCTCAGAGATCGGATTGCAGGAGCGTCTTGAAGCAATGTTTGCAAGGGACACACAGGACTGGGCAGAGGGAGGAGTTGAGTGGCAATAAGTGGCCTTAGGGACCTCAGCGGACAGTCTGGGGAGCTTTGGGGTTAGGATGACCCTTCAGAGTTGTTCCACTTTGAGGACAAGAGAGCCAGGTCTTTATCTGCCCTTCTCCATCACTGACCAGTTACCGGGTACGAGAGGGGACGTGGCCTTGGAAAAGAGGCTCTGTTATAAGGCTAAGGTTGGGGCTCACCTGAGAGCCCTCAACTGCCATGACTCCTAGCGGCTGAGAGAATAGGCCCTTGGTCCCCAAAGGGTGGGAAGGTCTGGGCAGAGTGCCCTGAATTCACTTCTGGGGGCTTTAGGTCAAGGTCACAGGAGCAGCCACCCACTCCTCAGAATGGCCCTTGGTGGCATGGTGAGAGCTGAAACCTGGGTGCACGAGTAAAGCTCTTCCCCAGAGGCATCATGGTGTTTCCATGCAAAGGGGCATCTCAGCCAGGGAGGAGTTCCAGAGCCTGCAGCGGCCCGCCAGCTTCAGCAGCAGTGCCAGGGGGTTGGCAATGCATGTCACATGCTGTTTATTTGGACCCAGCCAGACCCTTCTGCAGCATTTAATTGTCATGACTGTCATGTTGCAAGAGGCAGCTGAGAGACTGAAATGAGCTCCCAATTTGTCTTTGAAAAATTTTCTCTATTATGAGACCAGGAAGATTAAAGGGATAATAACACCTTACACCCATATCGTGCTTTCCTACTAGCAAAGAGCTTTCATACACACATTATCTTATTTGGGCCACGTGCTAGTCCTGTGAGGTAGTCAGAATACAAATTATTATTCATCTTAGAGGTGAAAAATTGCAACTTTGGACACTTATGCTTCCACCTTATATTCCAAGACTGGGTTGCATTTCTTGATTGTGTTTTTTTTTCTTTTTTTTTTTTTCATTGACCAAGATCCTTTGGTCAATGAAATTCAAGAAGACTAAAGCATTAAGGCAAATGAGGGGGAGGGGATCCCCCTTCTCTCTCTCTCTTTTTTAAAAATATATATTTTATTGATTTTTTACAGAGAGGAAGAGAGAGAGATAGTTAGAAACATCAATGAAAGAGAATCATCGATCAGCTGCCTCTTGCACACTCCCTACTGG